TGAACAATTCATTTTCAGCAATGCTAGATTTGCTTTCAGCCCAAAACTTGGCTTCATATCACTCGCGTATATAGAACTGAAAGTTATTACTACGATTTGGCAGTCGATAGGCGTCTGAATATGATGATAGATTATTCTGTCAGTTACCGAATAACTTAATAACTTATTTTAGGTTTCCCTGATTTAGTAATAGCATTTGAATATTCTATCCAGAGTTGTGAGAAATCGTTGCTTTGAATAGTGTACCAGAGTGCATCAAAGTGTGAACTGGTTTAGGCCGCTAACAGAAAAAGAATATGGGATGTTTTTAAAGCTTTTTCGAAAAATTCAATGTAAATGTAAAACAGTGAACACTTGTACGTTATAAACTGAAGAAATGCGTTGTATATGAAGTTATTGAAGAGGTCAACAAAGAGAATATGAACGAAACAGAGAAAGATTACCATGGAAAATTTGCTTGAAGAATTATTTTTCTATGTAAGTCTGAGAAAGTGAATCCAGCAGCTTTTGCGAGTCGCATAAAGTCTTCTAAAGATATACTACACTGAACTGATGAGAAGCTGAGTGATAACAGATGTTTTGCTAATTTTTTTCTACTTAATGATTCTTATTAAATACCCAAAACCCGAAACGATCCCTTGTGGCACAAGTCACTGTTTTTATGTCTCTATAAATGATTCACTCTACAAAGACATTTTTCATTCCTATAATCAAATATACTTGACCTTTAATGTGTCACAGCTCAAAGTATTCGTAGCGAATCAAAAACTTGCAATCTTCTTGACAAGATTGTAAAGAACAATTGAAGGATTGCTACTGTTATCAATAATGTCCGGAATTAAACCAACCAAGCGAGATTTCAACTTTGTTGCAGATATTATCCTTCAAATAAAAACCATATTCGATCCACAATGATCCGTTTGTATGACTACCGTAACAGATGAATATTTGTTCTCCTTCATGGATGGGTCGAGTAACAATCGCTTTATATAGATTCAATTTGCTATCCCAAATCGCGCAACACTAAACAGCAGGATATTATAGTCTAAAATCAATTAATCGAAAAATCGATTTCTCTAAAAAGGACTTGGAAATTACTTATTCATCGATTAAAATCAATTACGGGATTAATTAAAAGTACTTGAGGGATTAAAACAAACTACTTAAGCACATCAATATATATTAACTGATGAAGTGAATATACCTGACTATCGTTGCTGTGATTCAGCATGTCGATAAGAGGTACAATTGCAAGTGAATCGCCTTCAGTGTTGTCAATCAACGGATGAGGCTTATTATCACGATATATGCATCTAGTATTTACAATATGCCAAGCCCATAAAAAATGACCCCAGATCGTATTATCTGCTAATATCGCCACAAACTGCGAATAAAAACGATTATGGGGAACGAATTCTCCTGCAGTCCCTTCAGTAACAAATCTAGCCTGAGTTAGAGCTGTGATCTCATCTGATTTCAAAGAAATTCTAATCTTTTCTTATGGATGGATATAAATAACAAGAAAATCCTTCATCCACAAAGAAAAAGGAAAATCTGCATTACAAGGGAGAAGGAAGGGGACCTTCTGTCTAAAGGTAAAAATCACATCCCATCATCTGGTAATGAAAGTTCATATATAATCTAAATGAAAATCCATCCAGTACTTTTTCATACATAGTCTTTAGTTCGTTCTTCTGTATACACCATTGCTTCCTTAAGCAATATGGAAAATCTTCTGGTTCCAAAACTGGATGTAGACTGGCCGGTGTTGAGAACGATTTCGGAAGCACTTTAAAATAGGGATCCCACTTTGAGTTCTTCTCTTTCTCGACTAAGAAGAAATACACTAGTGCTTCGAATGGTTTTAAACGGTATCTAAAATACATGACTAATGTTTGCAGTGAAAAGACGAAGTTAACAGTTTTCTCTTCATTATACATTTAGTAGTTAAAGTCATTTATTTATTACAAGAATCGTTGAGAGAGGTAGTATAAGTAAATGTCACTGCCTTTTTAATAAAAACTGCAACATTTTATTTCGGATTTTAACTCTTCTTCGACTAGGTTATATGAACATATTTTTCGTCATACATATGGTTTTCTAATGCCTTAGCTTGTTATCAACTTCAGAGCGATCAAAGTGAAAGAAAACCACAGAAATCCCGATTGTATTATCTGGAGTTCCGTAGGACTTCCATTACTCTTTTGTCTCTTTTAGATATAATACAACACTATTTCTGTTATAATCATCTCTTATAGGTTGGACTGAACCTTTTGAAAACATCACAATAACCCGGCATTTCGGCAACAAATCCAGCAGTGATGATAATTTCCATTGGTATGCATATTACTGTTTCATTCTCTCGGAAGTCTGTTGTTGCATACAATCCCTTTCCACCTTCATTTGAGCAATCCCTGATATCGACGCCAAAATGCTCGCCACCATTTTCAATCACCCATTCCATAAAATCTGTATAACCCATGCAGAGCAAATTACCTGCAATGTTCTCCCATGAAAGTTTGTAACCGCAATTTGCACACCAAACAGACAAAAAGTCAGTAAATTGCACGTGAGCTAAAGGGAAGGTTGATTACATTGTTAAATCAACCACTTAGGAAAGATAAAAATCGTTTAATGAAGTAACACCAGCCTAGTTATACCGATAAGATTTCGTACAAGTGAAAAAGAATGACTTTTATAAATCTAAAATTCTATTTCGTGAAATGGATGGATCGAATACATCAATTTAATTATAGCTATAACAGCTAATAACATCAAAGACATCAAATTGTTCATATCCCATTACATCGTCCTAATAAAATACAACAGTTCCAACGTTGTTGTATCGCATTGGAATGATGCAATGGGATATGAGTAACGTAATATCCTTTTAGCCGAATGCAATATAAAAACAGCAAATCTCACGATGTTCTTTCACTGTCCCGAATGTTAAACATCATTTCTAGATCATTTGAAAATCTCTTTCCCTCTCCAACTAAACATTTATCCATCACAAAAGAAACAGAAAAAAAGGAAACAAATATATGACCTTACCCATGAAATTAAAGCATACGACCTAACCAAAGTGACGAATTCGTTTACAATTTGTCCTTATCATGATTTTCTAATCACACAGTGCAAAAATCTGAATCCACTGCAACATATATTAAGAGATCGTGTCAGCTGTTCGAAATAAATTGATGCGAACACATGACACCATTAATTACCTGAGTCAACTCAGTAACAATTCATAAAATGTCAGTAGTTAACAGAAAACATCGATAACGAGGTACATTTGGTCCAAGGCAGCTTAGAAACAAGCAACAAAAAGTAGAATTTGAACCCACTAATAAAATGAATACATAAAATGAAAATATACGCAATAAGGTCAAATAACTACACAACTACCGAAATAAGACCGATATGCCATTGCCAGCGAAAGGAAAGAACCCATGGCCTTCCTTCAGCACGTGCTTCGAAGAGTAGGAGAAATTAATAAACATTCCGGATTATGACCATACTTTGCCCAAGACCTTTATTTGCCTTATTTGGAGTAGCCTATTCCACCTTACAGCTAGCTTATATCCTACTATCCAAGTGTCAGTGCACTGGAAACTATATGCTCGAATTCACTTGTTTACAGCATTCCCGGTAAAACCCAACTGTCTTTTTTT